TTCATTTATAAGATTAGATAATGGGTAAGGTTGGTGGAGATCTGAGGTGAAAAAAGAATCGGGAGAGACAGATAATGAGTGGGGATAACCCCCTTCAAATTTTTCATTTCCACAAAACTGTTTTGTTTTTATTTAATTAAATGTTAAATTGTTATCACTTTACGAGATTTCTATAATTCTATTGGGAGTATGCTTTCAAGAAAGAGCTGCCAGCAAATGCTCAAAACAATATTGAAAGAAACGACCTATATATATAGGTTATACATGTTTGTAGATAATTATGTTTAGTTTGTTAGTATTTCTATTAGTTGCTACTTCACACCCATGTGATAATAACCGTAGTTGTTAGCAAGTTGAGTATTTTATTTCAAACTGTGTTTAAAGGTGGGTAAATTTTAATTTGAAGCTCTGTATATAATCAAATGTATGTAATCATAAATAGTCAAACCATACTCACAAGCTAGCATTTTGTTTCGCACTGCATTGCCGCGCCAAACGCGGCACACCCACCTAGTTATATCTTATATTACAAACTAAATTGATCTGAAAAACAATCTCATTACACTATAGGAACATCAATAATAAAACTTATGGTTGTTCACATCACACAGATGAATACAAATAATCACACTTTTGATAAGAAAGTTAGTGATGAAATTACATTCTCTTAAGTGATAATAATTTGGACACAAATTACGAATTTACGTTTTCAGAGTAACAATTAATATAAACTTCTAAAAAAAAAAAAAGAGTAACAATCAATAAATGAATATATTTTTTTATTGGAGGGAGGCAGCAAAGGACATCCGAAGAAGCAATTACAAACTAGTAGAAACCAAAGCACGGCACCAACCACTCGATACAGACATAGTGTGGCCAAGAAATCAAATGAGTCAGAAACAAAACGCACCCAGTGGAGGCCTGAGCCCTGAAGTCATCATCAGCAGCTTAAACAAACACGGAGGCATTGACTCGTTCCGAACATCATAATTAGTTCCCGCCTAAAGTTCAAGTATAAACTTTAGTAGGATGCAATACATGACAAGTATGTTTAAATATCGATTCGGCCGGTCCGCGTAACCGTACTTCAATTGTTTAAATATTATCTAGTGAATCGGTTTTGGTTGAAAAGATTGCTAATTAAAGTAAAGCAAGGCAAAAGTAAACGGTTTTGAAAGCTCTATGTGAGAAGGATCACTCGGGTGTCGCTTCCCCCTAACTACTACCGTGACACGAGGAATTGAATTAATTGTTACGGCAAGGTGACCGCGAACCGCTAGGAAACGCAACTATGGTCGTAGACCACACTCTCGTTTGCCAAACCAAGGGATACATTATAGGCTACTTAAGTAGCCCTCTTGGTTAAGGCAATCGATGGTTGACTTACTCTCTCACTCAACCCAATGGTTGGTCGATTTAATCGCGCTTAACCAAATTGTTTAATTCAACATAGAGGTTTGCCCTACATTAGCCTAGATAGGTGGTGATAATTATCGAAAATATATTGATTCTATGTGTTTAATGTGATTATATCATGATATGTTTGAGACATACAATGCTTGTTTTAAGGCCAATTAACTTTGGAATGATTGAAAATCATTACCGCCTAGTACCATGAGTTTGATGCATTTCTGGTGAAGAAAACATGAAAAGATGGTGGCACAAGTAGACAAGAATGGCACTAGAAAAATGAAAGAATCGACCCAGATGAATTTACTTCGGCGGTAAATTGGACCTAGCAGCTCGAACGATTAAAAATTGGCCTATTCCCTGGATAAAGACGAAATTGGATCGGAAATTGATGGATTGGAGTGCGGCCAGAACAAAATTGCTTTGGAGAGGAATTAAGTGGACATGGTCCATTTATTTGGACCGGCCATAATTAATTGGGACCATTTCTCTTGTCAGGAGATTTACTGGGACAAGGAATTCTTTTGGCAGGGGAAAAGAATTGGACAAAGGCAGCAGGGGATTATTGGACCGGAGGAGGATATATATATACTTGGACCGGGACGAAATAAGGAGAGGAAAAACGAATTGCAAGGTTTTTTTTTAGAATTATTTGGAGGGGAATTCTTGGAGAAGGGGAAGCAACTGCGATCGGGAATTAACGGAGAGCGCGGGGAAGAATTGGAATAGTTGCAGCGAAGGAAAGGCGGCGACTCGGGGAGCAGCAGAGTGGCGATCGGAGCAAGAAGGAATTGGAGTCGGATTACCTTCGACAAATTCAGTATTCTTTTTCTTTTGTTTTGATTCGTGACATGATGATTAAGAACATGATTATATCTTTTGATTTCGTCATGAACTAAATCCCAATTTCTGTGGGAAACACCATAGAACACCATAGGATATAGCTATTTTTAGACTTGAATGATTGATTCATAATTCTTTTCTTCCAATCTCTAGTGCATGGAATTGCTTAATGCTTTGTGTTGACTGGCCACCAATACAATGATTTGTAGTTAATTAGGTTATTAGCGACAGTGAAACCATATTAACTGAATCTATTTCATGTGACATAGTAACTTATCGAAGCGACAGTGGATTAAATAAGGTACTAAGCGGTCGTGATTGAGATATCGGTCTTCAGGCTAAATAATTAACTCAACGAGCTACGACAGTAGGATTTGATTTAATTGTTTAGTACGTAGTAATTCCCGACAGGGATAGCTAGCATAGTAGTGATATCCTGGCTGTAGAGATATGGATTAAACTGATTGGAATATGTGAATTAATCTGGATAGGATAGGCAGTGAGGTGTTTCTCCCAGAGCTTTCTCCATTGAATTTCTCCCGACAGTTTTCATTTGCTTAATTTGTTTAGTTTATTTTGATTTTAGAAATTAGTCTCATTAAACTATTTTCACTTATAGTTTGCTCATAGAATTGATATATTATAAGGTTGTACCAGTCCCAGAGAGATGATGCCCGGATTTTCCGGTTTTACTACGAGATAGGATTGAAGCATTACGCTTTTGCCCTATCAAGTTTTTGGCGTCGTTGCCGGGGACTGCCATACCTTATTTTTGTTGATTTTTTTGAGTGAACTATTTTGATCTGTGTTCTAGTGTGCAGGTGAATTTCAGGTTTATCCTCCTTGTGCATGCCTAGGAGGACGACTGGCGATTTACTGCCACTAGACCCGGAGATCGAGAAGACCTGTCGACAGAACAGGAAGCAGGTCAAGTTAGGGAAGCAGCCAACCACAACTCCTAGGCCTTCCCTAACCCATAATCGTCAACAGAGAGGGCAAGCTTCATCACTTGTCATCCCTACACCACCTACACCACCACCACCGCGCGACATCGAGCCTGTCATCATGGCAGACCAGGATCGTTCGATAAGGGCTCGCTTGAATCGAAGAACTGGAGCTCGAGCTTCATGTGTTGTTATTCCGGCTGGGGATGCAACCATGGAGATTACCCTAGCATTCATCAACATGATCGCCAATGGGTATACTTTCTCCGGGGCTAGCAGTGAGGATCCTCGCGAGCATCTTCGCCGGTTTGCGAGCATATGTGATATGATGAAGAGCCCTACAGTGTCTGATGATGCAATTCGCCTACGGATGTTCTCGTTCTCTCTCCTATGGAATGCATCACACTGGTTCCAGAACTTAACACCTCGTTCCATCACGACATGGGCTCAGCTTGAGAAGACCTTTCTGGACAAGTACTTTCCTCATGCCAAGGCAATGAAGATGCGAGAGGAAATTTTTACTTTTAAACAGGCTGATGACGAGAGTCTGACTGAGGCATGAGAGGGCTACAAGGGACTGTTGATGAGATGCCCAAGTCATGGTCTTGAGGATTGGAACGTGATCATTATTTTCTTCAATGGAATCAGAAGGGAGTTCCGGGGTGCCCTTAATAATGCTTCGCAGGATGGTTTCACCACGAGAATTATATGTTCTGCCAATTGATTTCACATCAATAAACTAGTAGGCCTTGCTTGTAGAGCCATTTTCACTCATCTTGAATGCTCCCAAGATCTCTTTGAACCTCTTAATTCGTCTCTTGGCCCATGGTCCATGTGAAGATATATCTTGCACTCGAATGTGCACATATGGGTGAGAGGGGTCGCATCACCCTTGTATATAAGTGTCCACCAAGCTAACACTATAAAAAAGGCCGTCATTACTGACGACACGATTTTCGTCATAATTGATAAAATTTCGTCGAAAAATATCTTTTACGACGACATTTCGTCGTCAGAAATTGTCCCGTCGCAAATAAATTATTATTGACAAGTCGTCAAATTTACAATATTATTGACGACATGAATACACTAGTAATAAAATAAATGACGTCACAAAGAAATCACTCATGACGGATGAATTTGACGAAATTTTTTTATGATGACATCTTAATTTATTTTTGACGCATTATGTTTGTAGGTAAACCAGTTTCCTGACGAGACGTCATAAATAATAATTATACTAAAATCCATAATTCATCGAAATAACTATTTGCGACCAGAATTTGAGGCCGAACTTTTTTTTTTGTTACGTTGTACATACATTTCTGAGGATATGTATACGTCACTAATATATTATTACCGACCTTTAGTAAAAAATATAAATTTTACTGATGCCGATAAATTTTTGTTAAAACTATGTTTTTCCGACGTGTCGCCGGAAGAATTATTATTTCCGAGGACAACTATTCATCGTAAATAAAATCTTTTACAACGTGTCTTTGGATAAATTTTTATTTACAATGACAACTATTCATCATTAAAAAAATCTTTTCCTATGTACCGTTGGTTATATTTATATTACTGAGGACATATGTTTATTATCGGAAAAAAATCTTTTCCAACGTGTCATTGGAAAAAATATATTTACTGAGGACAGGTAATTATCACCAAAAATTATCTTTTCCAACACGTCGTCGGAGAAACTACATTTACTAATGACGCTTAATTATTGTCAATTGTGCAATTACATCTATTAACGACGGCGACATTTGTTGCTAATTGCTTGATCAAATTTCATTTGTGACGCCATTATACTTCTAGTGATGACAACACAAACAAATCATCCAAACAAAGTTATGCATATTCCAAAATTAACTTTCAAACTGTCTAACAAGTAGTCATCAGCTACGACCAAACATCTAAACTTCAAAAGGCAAAATATCCTCCGAAAATGACACAAAATATCCCAAAGTCAAGCGATACTTAGAATCCTACGATAGCATTCAAAAGAAATTCATGCATCAGCAGTCTCCTCGGCAGTCTCCTCATCGGACTCGTCGTCGGCCACATCTTTACCCTGAGTTTCCCCAACTCGACCTTGTTCCCCATTTGCTTCATTGTTGAGATCCTACATAGAATATAACAATAAATTAGCCATAGCTTCGAAAATTATGTAATGACTAAAAAATAAAACATGACAACAAAATACATACTATGTCGAATGACTCGGGCAGCCGCACTCCAAGTCTCTGCAAGACAGATTCAACAATGTGAGGGACTGCATTCCTCCCATCTACGATCTCATCCTCCAACTTCTTCATTTTCTCATCATTTGTTCCCCTTTTCTTTGGTTCGATCCTCCTGACAACGCTTGCTGCAACCTTGACTACCTTGACTCAATGGGGGACCAAAGACATCAACCGAGCTCACCCCATGGCCCATCCCTAGAACACGCTTTGGGCGTTGTGGTTCTATCACTTCTTGATAGATGGAAAATTTGTTTGGTTCTTACCCTTGGGATACCTTTTCAGCCTCAGCTTGTATTATTCCATCCTAATCATGGAGTAAACAACATCAATATCAATAAAAAAAACAACAAAAACGAGTACAAACAGCAGCCTAATACTCTGTAAACAACATCAATGTCAATAAAAAAGACAACAAAACCGAGTACAAACAGCAGCCTAATACTCTGTAACATTATTGAACTTACATGGAGGGTTTTTGCTTTTGACGAAACCCAGTTCTTGTCCTTCTTCACATGGAAACGTCTAAATATCTCGATCGGACAGGTTCTTTTCCAGTTTGCTTTATCTACCAATCAATTAAAACGAAAAATTGCATTCACATGTAAACTTAGTACACTTGAATCCTAACATAAACATTAGCAATAGTGCAGCAACTTACCTCTTCATGTCTGTACTTGGCCAACGGTGCTGAACCGCCAGTGGCTGCAAGCTCACTCTTCTCCCGATTCCCTTTATTCTTATCACTCATTTCCTTGAATTCGAAACAACAAACAATAAACTCACCATTAAAAACAGATTAGGATGAAAGACAAACACCAAAGCATACACCCACTTAACTTACCACCCAATTCGGGTTAGTCCATTTCTGAACCATCTCCCTCCAAATTGATGGACTAATTTGCGGTGGTGGATGGTTCATTCTCTGATTCAGATTCTTATACTTCTTGAAAATTCGGTCTCGGAGACCATACATCCACTGGGGAAAGTTTCTCTTCAAGTGGTCTCTGACCATATCGTTGAAAGTCTCTTCTGACCCAGTGTAGTGAATCCTGAGTCCTTGAAACGAGCTATCACTGTCTCGAGTTCTGATGCAGGATACTCTGAGGACGTAATCCAAGGCCCATTGATGCTCCTTTTGAAGATAGCTGAAATTTCACGGGCTGCTTGAGTGGTAATTATCCTGCACAGTTTATAAAGAAGTATCAAACTAAGTAAACTGAGTATAGGGACAGGTTATCGTGAAAGATTTGAGACAGGTTGTGCAAAAAATTCCCGGGGCAGGTTGTGCAAAAAATTCCAAGGAACATTATTACAGACCTATTATCGTGAAATTCCAGGGACATGTTGTGTCCAGGCTTTACACCCTTTCCTGGTCCTCTTCCTTTTCTTTTTTAGGTCGGCCCTATCACAAGGTCAGAACTTATAGTCAGCTACAATGCAAAGACAGATGTAAGCCAATCGAAATAAAAAAAACCACACAATGAAACTAACCATTCGAACTTCCATCCTCTGATGACAGCAGGTCCGCAGCTGAATGTTGAGCAGTCGAATCAACTTGCTCTGTTTCTCCTTCCAATCCAATAACAGGGGACCTTTGCTCCATTCTCGGAGTTTCAGTGATAGGAACAGGCGGATTGGTGTTCCTGCCACCTTGTCCTTCTTCCTGATTCTCTGAAACAAGAGGCGGAGAGGGAGAGTTGCTCTGCACAGGTGAACGAGGTGCAGATTCTTCCCTCTGGCTATGAGAACGGAGGCGTTTCTTTTACTTTGCCATCTAGTGAGAAGCAGAATTCATTAGAGGGAGGAGAGGAATGGCAGAGAAGAGGGAATGGCAGATGACGAAGAAAAGGCTTTTGGTTCCTTTATTTGGCTCTGCCTACAGAAGCGTGTTTATGGATACTAGGGATTATTAATGAAGCGTGTTTTTGTGTAGTTATTGTGTTGTGGTGGGAAACAAGGAAAAAAATCCCGCCTTTTTTTAGGCTAACGAAGAGGCAGAGCATGTTTATGGTTCTTTACCGTTTCTGAGTAAATCTCGTTCCAGAGATCCCTCTCTGCCGTTTTACTCATTTAACGCATTAATTCATTTTTTGCAATTAAGGTTTAATTACATGAATGAACAATAATTGACAAATTAGGGGGGATTGAACAGAACTAATTACATGAATAAACAATGAACCAATGCAAAGAAAACGAACCAAAAACAGACCCCATGGATTATGATTCGACAAACTTGGCACCTCAACTTAGCTTAAAAAATGTCCACAAGAATTGCACCATGGATGAACAACCCACATTCATTGACCAAATCAAAGTAAAAGCCACTGAACTAACTCAGAACAGACCCCATTGTGCAAAGAACGAACTAATTACTTGGAATTCCGATTCAGCCCCAATCTCAGAGAGTTCTAAGATGCTTTCTGGGTGCATTCATGTTCGATTTACACCTGAAATTGAGGAAATCAAACCGCAACATTCAAATCCACATCTATGCATATAAATTGATTTGCTTGTACACATCCAATCGAAAGAAAAAGCAAAGAAACCTATATTCTGTCGACTAAGAAAGGCGAAGGAACCCAGATTCCGGCGAATAAAGATCGCCTCTCTGCCCTCATTCGTCTCTCTCAATTCGCAATCCGCCGCGAAACCCAGACCCCCCAGACGATTGGGCTCCCGCTGCATCGCCTCGTCCACGCTGCTCAGGCTGTCAGCCGATCGTAGCAATTGACGGCGGCCGTGACGTCGCCTTCGCGCACCCCAGTTCACCAACCGCCACTGCGACTGGAAATATCATCGTCGTCTCCTCCGTGCCCTCCAATCTTCCATCATCGACAGACTTGAAATCGCCACAATCTTTTGGGTAAGTGATGAAAAATGAAATCGATTAAGGGTTTGGGTAAACAGAGTGCATGCGAGGAGGGGAGAGGGGAAGATGGAGTGTTTTGTTCTCCATTTTAATTTGTTGAGAATAAACTATAGTGTTAATTGATTAGCTGGCATTGCAAAATAAAAATAAAAGTGTTTTATCGAAGCGAAGAGGGGCAGATGATTATGTAAGCTTTTTAATTTATATTTTTTTGCTAATAAACATTTAATAAAATTATTGAATTTCAATAATATATATATATATATATTAAAAATATATTGTATATTTTTTGTAGGTTATGGAAGGTGTTGATAAATCATGGATACAGCTTCGTAATAGATCAACTATGGAGTATGCGAATGCGATAAAATTTTGAACGCCATTCGCATACTCCAATATTCAAGATGAAGACAACAAAATACAGTGTCCTTGCCTGGACTGTCGGAATGTTATAAGAAGGGGAAAACGAGAAGTTGAGCTACATCTATTACGACGAGGAATGTCACGTGATTACACTAAATGGATTTACCATGGTGAGAAATCAGACGATGATTATTCTGAAGAGGAGGATGCAGAGGATGCTGTAGACGATGGTAATGAGATGGATGTAGATGACATACCGGGGTTACTGAATGATTTAAGACCGCATTTGGATCCTGACCCCGAGAATCCCAATGCAGAGGCGGAGCAATTTTTCAAACTGATTAGAGATTCTCGGACGCCATTGTATGAAGGTTGTGATGAAAAGCTATCCAGCCTGTCATGCCTGGTGAAGATGATGCATTTGAAGTGGTTCAATTCTTGGAGTAATACCTCTTTTACTCAATTATTGAAGTTTCTTCGATCTACTTTCCCTATGGCACAGCCTACAATGCCGAAGAGTTACTATCAAGCAAAAAAGATGTTGAGTGGCCTTGGCCTAAATTACGAAGAAATAGATACTTGTGAAAATGACTGTGTCATTTACTACGGGGAGCTCAAAGTAGCAACGACATGCCCTTCTTGCCAGAAACCAAGGTACAAGAAAATCAGGAAGGATAGTAGAGGAAGAGTCACCAAGGTGCCCTACAAGATACTAAGATATTTTCCCTTAAAGTCAAGATTACAACGCTTATTCATGTCGCGAAAAACTGCGGAGAATATGGTGTGGCATAGCGAACAACGTGTTAGAGATGGAAAATTAAGGCACCCTGCTGACAGTGAAGCTTGGAGAGTTTTGGACCAGTATGATGCATCTTTTGGTTCCGACCCTTGCAACGTCCGATTGGGATTAGCAACGGATGGCTTCAATCCATTTGGCAACATGAATAACAAGCATAGTACATGGCCGGTAATTCTGTTCCCGTATAATCTCCCACTGTGGTTATGCATGAAGAGTCCATAACTATTATTGACATTACTCATTCCTGGTCCGAAAAGTCCAGGAAACAATATTGATGTCTACCTGCGACCACTCATTGATGATCTGAATTAATTGTGGGGTGAGGGAATAATGACTTATGATGCATTCAAGCAAGTGAATTTCAACATGAAAGCTGCATTGTTGTGGACTATCAATGATTTTCCTGCATATGGTCTCCTTTCTGGTTGGAGTACAAAAGGCAAATTGGCATGCCCTTCCTACGCAGGGAACACCTCACATTTGAGGTTGAATAAAGGATGCAAGGAAAGTTACATGGATCATTGTCGTTTTTTGCCATTGGATCATAAATGGCGCAAGCAAAAGAAGGAGTTTAATGGCATTGTAGAAAAAAGACGTGCACCAGAGCGATTATCAGCCGAAGAGGTAAAAAATCAACTTCTCTCTTTACAAACTATACCTTTCGGCGGTAAGGAAAAGGGTTAATATTTTCGTATGGCCTGAACTTTGACCAAAATAAACATCCTGGCCAATCTTTTCGATCTATAACATCCTGGCCCAAACTATACACCAAAATAAACAATTTGGCCAGATCCGACTTTTGACCGTTAACTTGGACGGTCAAATGCGTTGACCGTTAGTCAACGCGCCATGTCACTGCCAAGTCAGCATAAAATATTTAAAATAATTCACAGTTTCCACACATTCCCTAATTTTAAATTATTATAAATTAAAAAATCATCTAATACCTTAGTTAAACCAAAATTAAAAAACAAAAAAAAATAAATATTTATCAGATCTTCTGACTTGGCAGTGACGTGGCAGTGACGTGGCATATTGACCATTAGTCAACGCGTTTGACCGTCCAAGTTAACGGTCAAACATCGGGTTTGGCCAAATTATTTATTTTGGTGTATAGTTCGGGCCAGGATGTTATAGATCGAAAAAAATTGGCCAAGATATTTATTTTGGTCAAAATTCTGGCCATACGAAAATATTAACCCATTAAAGAAAAATAACGATTGTTTGTCCCCGCCACCATAATACGTCCAATCCAAATAATCAAAGATTAACGATGAGAAGAGTCCATTAGTAGAAATAGTGAGAAATATGGATCCAATATTTTTTTTTTGTCATAAATATTTTTTTTTGTCATGGATCCAATATATTGATTTCATCTAATCTCCTTTGTCCTTTCTTAATAAATGGATGAATCGTCACTTGATAACTCAAAAGCGAATTAGTACCCTAGTCATTTATTTACTATTTATCTATAATATAGTACCCTCTCATGAGCAAAAAAATCTTATCAATATAAAAAAAATATTTTAAAATTTATGAACGCTGTTTACACCTAAAATTAATTTGGATTAATTAAATGCCGTATTAATGAGTCTCGGCATTTAATTCGATACCACATGATAAAAAACGTGTCGTTCGGAATCGTGCAATGTCACGGAGAGTGTAAACGACACAGCAATGAAGCTTGCCGACACCGCGGTACTTGAAACGACATTGTTTACTATGTGTGGGTCATGGGCTGCAGGACTTGTGTTGCTGTTGGAAAAGGAGTTTTTTTTTTATTCCTTATCGGAGGAGGAGAGAAACAGTACCGTTTGGAGTCAAGCAATGCCGTAAAGAGATAAAACGGTGCCGCGAAGCTCAAAGTTCAACGGCATCGCGAGACTGGAAACGGTGTTGTTTGGTAAAAAATGATACCATGAGAAGTATCAACAATGCCTTGTAAGCACTGTTTAGTTAAAAACCCTATCGGGTAAGTGCTTGGTCCAAGGCCGCCAAGTCCAACGCGAATTCAAAGTCGCCCCGGTTTAATTAATTAATATTTTTAATGATTATTTTAGACAATGTCGTTTAGTTGAAAACGTCGCCGCAAGAGGAATCAACAACACCACAGAGTTTGAAAACGACATCGCGTGAGGTATCATCAATATCGCGGTGGTGAGACAGCGCCGCGAGCTAAACAACATTGCGGTGGAAAGCGATATCGTGGTCGCGAATCCAGCGGCGTTGCAAGGCCAAAACAATATCGCGGAGTTCAACGAGGCTGCGAGTTTCGACTATGTGTTGCCAACGATGCCGAGAGATCAACAATCTAGCGGCGAATACGCGGTGGCGCTGGTGAAATAGCAACGTTGTTTTAATTGATGGCGGTATCGTGATTCGAACCATGGTACAAAGTTAATGTGTTTTGCACGTGACTTTTATGCAAGCAAGATTGGAGAACGGATGCGAGGCGGTTGAAGACTACAACTTCGTGAAGAAGGATGTAGCACATGGGAGAAAAAAGCAAAGCGGTTTCAGAGCGTGAAGACTACGGAAGTGATTTGTTAAAATCAATCGTGCAAGGAGAGGGAGAGGACAACGAAATCAACACAGAACAACTCTGTTCCAAACTTACCTTTTTCTCTGTAACTCATTCGCGGAGCTCTCCTTCCGGGAAGGATCTCCTTAGTTGTAGTC